TCTGTTATCGTTTCCTCTACTGGCCGAATCTTTTCGAGGCCCACAGCTGAACTGGCTTGAAATGTACCCATTCCCCATCACAGAGAGTGAGAACATCTCTCTATTCACTTTTCCTTCCTCCTTTCGTGTCTCCTCATCTTCACCTCAACACCTCATCTCCTGTTTGCGTTTTCCTGTCACGTCCTTTCACCAGCCCCATGTCGTAGCGAGGCCTTTGGTCAAGCCCTGCTGTGGGGTGATGACACGGTCTCAGGCCCTGAGTATTTTGGCTCTCAGACTCATATTGAAGGTCAGGGACTGATCACACTATTGCAGCCTAACCGCTGCATACTGGACCTGCTTAGCACCGCTCAATGACAAAATGGATCAAAACTCTTCACAGAGCTTGGGCCATTTCTTACCTGTTCAATGGAAATGTAATGTAACGTGGTCTTATGCCTAGAAGTAATTTTTTTGCTCAATATATTTTTATTATATATTCTATATATAAATATATATAAAGATTACAATAGCTGGGATTATTTAATAGCAATAGCTTGTAGTGAATGTGTACAGATTACCTTATAGAGATGTCTAGACGATTTATGAAAAGGCCAGTTAAACTAAAAGGAATCTGTTTTTGGACTGTCACGAGTAGACGTTGTATAACCTCCACTTAAAGTCTTGCACGCACACATACACACTTTTCACCAACACACACACACAACATGCACATGATTTCACACACATACCCACCTTTTGCTGCTGTGTGAAAGACACTGGTTTCTGAAACTGGAGGATTTTAATGTTGGTCAGTCAGTCTGGGCTTAGACTCTTTATATTTCACTGTTCCTCCTGTCAAGAGTAAATAATCAGCTAGATAAACCAGATCTCTGTCACATTTGAGAGGATGCTACTGCAGCTTTAGCACCTGTTAAATAGTCTGTTTAGAGAACACAGCTCACACTGAAATTTTGCTCTTATATGCTATAAAATTTCCTCAAGACAAGATGGCGTTTGCAGCTTCAGAACTGCAACTGAGCAATTGATCCATGTTCAAAATGTAATATTTGTCTGTAGCTCATCTGACCAGGTGAAAATAACGAAAGGTGGTTATATGTGAGGTATCAAATCCTCTCATTTTAAAGACTAGAATTGCAAAGGAGTTCTGATGATGAAGCACTGGGCACATCATTGCCTAGTTACATTCCTTTTATCGTTTGTTTTTTGTTTGTTTTTGTTTTTGCTGTACAAGGGCCAATGTACGATGTTGCGCGGCATGGTTGGTGTGCTATGAAGGCGACAGGATGACTCCACAGTCCAGGTTTTATTTAAACTTGTTTCTTACACTGAACTCAAATCTGTTGATAGGAAATAAACTTTGATGTTCCTTATTACACTTAAAGGGACAAGACGTTTTTTCAAAAAAGAAAAAAAAATACATGAAAACCAAATGTGGTGTTAAGTGAATTTTTAATAATGTACAGTTTTGGTGACTTTAAATTTGTTCCTTTATATTTTTAGGACCAATTCATCATTTTTAAGAGGAGGTATTACAAGACTCTGTTGTATTAAGGTGATGTAACACGTGTGCATCTGTAGAATGTACTGTGAGTTGAATAAAAACCACATCTAGTAGAGAGCATTTGTTTTCTGAAAGCTTTATCTCTTCTCCATGTTGATCCCAAATGTTGGGTTTCCCCCAACAGTTTTGAGGCATTTGGTGACTCAGTTACTCTCACCTGTGTAGCTAAACCCGGCCTCTTGCTCAGTGCACGCTGCGATAGGCTGCAACCCCACCTGACCACTCTGAACTGAATAAGAGAAGTAGATTGATTTATTTTACTGTATATAGCTAATAGGGCCATCTATTTGAGATACAAATCCAGTGAAAGGGTAGGTATGTATAATTTGTATAAATTTATTAAATGTTTAGGTTTCACCATGGGCTTGAGTAATTGCGTTGAGGATTTTCCACTATTTTTTGACATTACAAACTAAATTATCAGTTGTCAAAATAATAATCAGATTAGTCAATAATAAAATACTTAGTTGCAGCCCTACATATGGATATGAATGAGAACTGCAAGCATTATTTTCAAATGGATATACAGCATGCAAGTTCTTTATTGCAATTAAAAGGTATATTAGATACAAGAACAGCATACCTGAAAAGAAGGTGACACTGCTGAAATACCATTGGGTTTATTGGCAGGTGAACATTTTAATAATGGTGCACACACATTTTACCTGCAGCCTGTTTCCCCTCATACCTGTACTATACCTCACTGTATATCACACAACCAAAGTGCTGGAATATGTCGCTTTTAAAAGTGAAAAAGAGCTTGTAGCCGTGACGCAAATCTGGTGAAGGGTTTGGCAGGGGGTTCTGCAGCTCCCTGGAGAGTCCTGTCTGAGACACATGCTGCTGGGAACGTCCTGCCATCACTCCCAGCTGCTCTACAGTAGTAGAGACTCAAGTACAACACACACACACACACTTATATTCTACACTTAAATCTACATGCATTGAAAAAACAAAATTATGTGGATATACTCAGGATTTAAAACAATAAAATATGTGCACCGTGTCTCTCGGTGCATCTCTCCCTCTCCCTTTGCCCTCTCTCGCTCTCTCAAATCCCTTAGCTGGCACTTTGTGCGAGTGTGTGTAAATGTGTATATGAGCGTGTGTGTGTGAAATTGTGTCAGTGTCAGCACTCTGGGTGGAGGGGGCTGAAAACTCCCCACGCCAGCGGGTTCCACCGTGCCCCCCGCCCGTCCCGCTCCACACAGTTGGGCTTAGCCCCACAAAAGGGGGGATAACAGTTACACAGTTGCCGTGGAGAGGAGGGGGTAATCCACGGTATAATGGGGCACACCAACACGGTCCCCCAACCCCTCCACCCCCACCCCAACCAACCAGTTCATTCTGGACTTGGTCCGTCAGATTGAGGGCCCCTGATGCCCAGGAGGATCGGTCTGAACTCTAAACATCTCCATATCACTATGAGCATCATGTCAGCAGCCTCCATTCTGCTGCATATTGCAGTAAATTAAAAATAATGTTATTACATAAAAAAAATCAATTAAAAAAAATCAATATTCAGTTAATGCAAAGCAGCTACAGCTTGTTACACTGCTGACATTTCCAAATTCATATTCCCAAGTTTTGAATTAAACAGAGGAATCCTGTCTCCTTTTGCGAAACGTCTTCACAAGGTGTGTGCTTGATTGATATCAAAGAGTGAAAATGAAAAGCTTGCACAGATGCAGCATCACAATAGGCTCTATGGCAACCGCATCATGAAAGAGTTTGTCCCCATGGTGATCAGAGCGGTACCTCACAAGTAGTTTATGGAGGGTGGGAGGACATCATATTCGTGCTCTTTGGGTATAATGTCAACGTAACACAGCAGGGAGTGTTACATTTGGTTGTTACCCTTCAACTTGCTGTTTTTCTACACTTATTTCTTCTGCTGTTTAACACACAAAGCCTGTTGATCCCACTTCACACCTGGACCCTTAATTTCCCTCCTGGTGATGATGCATTAAAGGACAGAAGGAAGAGTCATGTTTATCTCATATTTATCTGATGCTGAGATGCAATGTGTGACCCAGTGGATAATTTCAAAACAGATGATATGATCTGTTGTTGTTGCTCCGGTTGTCTCTGCTCACTAATAGTCCCGCTCTGCTCTAAATGATATGAAAACCAGGCTGAGCTGCAGTAATGGGTACCAGGTGCTCAGGACACGCCAAAGCAGTTCAGCCCGACAGGAGGGGATAATTCACAAACACCATTATGCTGCAGTTAATGTTGTATTTCTATATGTATATATGTTGTGTTGTTAAATGGTAAGACAGTTGATATTCTTCTTATTGTCAACAAATATCATGAAAAGATCAAAATCAACCATAGCAGTACTGTACTAGTCTGACGTTTGCATATATATTCCTTGAGACTATTCCATCTCCTATCCAGTCTTTAGCCACTTCTTTAGTTACACCTACACAATTTAATGCAATGCAACACAACAGATCTGCCACAATTACTACATTTAGAAGGATTATAATGTTGAGTTTTTGTTGACACTGTTGTTCCACTGAGGTTCATTCATTGAGTTGATTCATCATTGAGGTAGTTAGCGGTGTTGTTGTGTGAAATCTAAAAGTGTTTCTAATGTTCTTCCCTACTCATGTTTGTAAATGGAGTGGACAAAATATTAGAAATCCCTTTCAATATAATACAGTCCAGTTCAGTTCAACATCACTGCAAATTAGAATCTCAATTATAAACACATGTTTAATTGATACAATCAGAGGTGAGCATTATTATCTTTGTAAAGGTAGAATTGATGGCTGAGCTGATGGCTTATCTTTCTTGAATTTGGAAAGATGATTCAGTCTCTTTTCAGCTAATTGACAGACAACATTTGAAGCTGACAATGCTATTGTCTGGCATTTAACTTGAACTCTAAATAGCACTGTACTCGTAATTGTGATCAAATTATGTCAGTCATTTTCCACAAGCGGTTGTATTATTTTGTGTCCTCACCACAATGTTTCAACCAGCTGTGTATTTGATTCATCGAAACGTTGTGCAACCCTGTGAAGTGGCCACAATCACTTCAGTTTGAAGATAAGTGAAAAGCTCCTCTTAGTTTTCTAAAGATGTGTTAAATTGCTCAAGGTCAGAAGAATCTGTTGGAGGAAAACTGGGAGGATATGGCCTAAGCTTGGGGAGGCATTTTTCTAGGGCTTGTGCTGGGTAAAGCCTGTGCAGAGGAAGGCTTGATAGGGCCTGAGGTGTGGGGTAAGGAGAGGGTGAGGAGAGAGAGACCGAGGGGGAGGAGGCTGCTCTCATCAAAGGACCTCTCAGAATCTACAAGTTAATGAGGGATGTAGGAGACACCCTGAAGCCCTCAGACCCCGACAGTTATACACAGGCAGACGGACAGACGGAGCCACAGAGAAAAAAAAAAACAAAACTTGAGGACAACATACTCACTGAGTTTGAAATGACGTGGCGTGAGGTAAGCATCTTATTTTATTGCATTTCTAGTTCAAACCCCTCATGATTTCCATTTGTAGGACTTGTGAAACAAAAAATGGATTTAATTTAACCTGCATCACTTTCACTGTGGGGCCTTTGTGTGTTGTGTATTTTTTTATCAGATGTTAATGAAATGTAATTATTTAGGGATAATCAATGCATTTGTGATCAAGGACACATTCAACAGAACGAGCTGAAGTGTTGAAATACATGATACTGACATAAAGTTGACTTGTTTTGTGCTAGATACAGTGATTCAACAAGTGTTGTCTATGTCTTGTTTACGTTTTTAAGAGCATTTAAGAGTCGTCCTTGAAAGTTTTTTAAGAGGCAGATGTATAAACATGATTATCAGCAGATGATATACAACCTCTGTCAGGCTCTGTGACCATAAAAAAGTATGTGACTGTATCCCTACATTTTATATTTTTAATCATGGAACTCAGCACTAATTGAAGCTTGAGCAGGATTTCAGTTTTCCTGTTTTAATTCACCTCACATTTAAAAATGCTTAGTGGACTAAATATAGGCCATCTTTGTTTATGCCCCTTTTTTCCGAGGAGCTACGGAGTCGGCAGTTCTGGCGAGCCATGCTGGCAGAGCTGCTCGGCACCCTGGTGTTAGTGAGTGCCGTGCTGGGTGCCTCTGTGCCAGGCCCTGGTGAGGCCCCTGTGGGACCCCTGTACCCAGCTGTAGCAGTGGGTGTGGTGATTGTCGCGCTGGGGCACTGTTTTGGAGAAATAAGTGGGGCACAGGTGAATGTCTTATAGTCACACATTGATTTTATTATTTTATTTGGCTTTTTTCTGATTGACTAGAACTGGATGGAAAAGCTTTGTTGGTGGTAACCACTGAGTAAAGTAAAAAAAAAAAAACACACACAAAGTAAAACTATTTCATTAGAGGTGAAAATCAGCCCCTCTCAATGATATATTATATATATAAGATTAATAAATTGTTACATATAGTAAGGTAGTTTAGTTCAGTGGTTCCCCAACCTAGGGGTTGGGCCTCTCCAATGGATCAGAAAATAAATCTGATGATTAATAGATGATAAAGGTAGATATTGCTTTTTTTGTAAGGCGTCAGAAGCCACAATGGATCTGTAACAATACAACTTTCAGATACATGTAGTGGAGTAGAAGTATAAAGCAGCAGAAAATGGAAGTACTCCAGTAAAGTACAAGTACCACAGAATTGTAAATAAGTACCTGAGTAAATGCACTTAGTTACTTTCCAGCTCTGGCAGTTGTTGAGTTTTTATGTCAATGTTTTTCAAGCCTGTGTTTGTGCTGTCTGATCAGGTGAACCCTGCAGTGACTCTGTCTCTGTTGGCCACTCGGAGGCTGGATGTTCTCAGGGCCCTTGTTTATATTGCTGCACAGTGTCTGGGGGCCTCTTTAGGAGCCGGGGCCCTCTACCTGGCCCTGCCGCTGAAAACCACTGCAGACCACTTCATCAACAGGGTCTGTTCTCAAAATATTATTGTGTAGCCTATTTTTAAAGTTTCAGAGACATGACATCTTTCCTGTCTGTTTGCTCACTTGTCCTGCTCCTCTTCTTCTCTCTTCATGCCTCCTTTACGTCCCTCAGGTGCCCATAGAGTTGAATGCAGGCCAGGCGCTGGGCATAGAGGTTTTGTGCACCTTCCAGATGGTGTTCACTATCTTCTCAGTGGAGGACCAGCGACGGAGGGAGAGCCCAGAACCAGGAAACTTAGCCATTGGATTAGCCCACACTGCTGGAGTGTTAATAGGGGTAAGATGAGCTTTCATACAGATTTATGTTATTTTCTGTCAGAAATAATTGACTCATTGTTAATTTATCGACTGCTTAGTTTTGTTGTTGCGAGTTGTTGATTTGCAGTTATTACTGATTTTTATTTTTTCCACTTGTATTTATGTTTTACCTCTGATTCCGATGGATTGAGGATCCTAGTTTGGAATCACAGGCTGAAATTTGCTTTTGAAGAAAGAGTGTGGGGAATGGTTGATGTGGACACTTATCTTCAATATGGCTTACATTGTTTTAATTTTGATCAGAGAGAAGACCATGGAACTCATCTCGGATATGTATGAAAAAAACACAAAACAAACCATCCATCATAAATCTCCTCTCACACACAAACACACAAGAAACAAGGCTTTCTGGAGAGTTTTAACCCAAATATGATGCATGTTGGGAAGTGTGCTATTAAGCTCACAAAGTTTCTAAAAAAATCAGTTGATGAGTTAAGTGAACATATTATAGCACATTTAGTCAACTCATAAATTGTATAAGTTCTGAAATGGTTCAACAATTAAAACACACAAGTCAACCGTCTCACTTGATGAATCAAAGCTCTACGTTATCTGGACTAAGAAACTTTATTGAAGCAAGAAACTGGGTGGCCACACATGCTGATAATCTTAACAATTTATTTTCCTTATTTATGCCAAAGAAATAATTAGCCTAATTGTCTGCAGTGATGGAATAAGAGCGTAAAAGCATCAATACTGAAAGAAACTTAGAGTCTTTTATAGCCAGTCAGAATCATCATTATATATTTAGTTTTGTAAACTAACCCTTAGTTTGTTAGAATCTCTAGTGAAGACATGGGAAGGTTCAACTGACGTATAAAAAAAATCTCTTGTATGTGTTGTTTTTGTGTCAGGCACGATTCTCTGGTGCGAGTATGAATCCTGCACGTTCCCTGGGCCCAGCCATCATCACTGGCTTATGGGAAAACCACTGGGTGAGACAAAAATCCAAACCTGTCTCCTTGGTAACATCATCCAACTGTCCATTGCTACTGTTTTATAAATGTTGTACAGTTTAGTCAATGTTCATATGATATTAAAAGGCTGAGCAATAACATTTATTCAGTAATTAAATTCATTGAATATTTGCTGTTGAGTACATCGACCAATTTGATGTCAGCATTAAAGGATAAGTAGGCGATATTCTGTCTTTGTTTTTGTCCACCAAAAACCATGAGAAAAACAAAGCCAACAATGTGTTAGTCCAGAGTTAAATTACAAACTTACACTTGCTTCCAGTATTTATTTTTGAACTACTTTTAGGCCAACAAAATAATACCTAAATAAAGGTTTCAGCAGTTTCCCACCTAGAATTTTATTTCTGGCAGTGTGGACAATGTTTTGAAACAGAACTGAGACCTTCATTTAAGCGTGGTCCATTAGATTTGGGGCAACAATGGAGTCTATGGCACACAGGATTAAGGTATTCCAGGTTTTGGCTACATAGATGAAACTTGATAGAAAGATCTGGTCTGTTCAAGGTATTTGTTGACAATAAGGTAAAAATATTAAATATCACTAGACTTATCCTTTTGATGTGAAAACCAGCTGATATATTGGCTATATTATGTTTTTGGGTCATACCAACGAGATGAAACCATTTCTCTGTCCGTACACATCTCTTATATGTCATTAAAACCTACTTTATTTTTGCTCACCTGCAGGTTTATTGGATTGGACCAGTGCTTGGTGCTGTGTTGGCCGGAGTGTCCCACGAGTTCTTCTTTGCACGCAGCGCCTCTCGCCAGAAGCTGGTGGCGTGTCTGACCTGTAAGGACATTGAGATTGTGGAGACGGCCAGTATGACCGGATCATCGCTGTCCACTGTCACACAGAACGCCATGAGAGCTAAACAGGCCAACAAACAAGAGAACAACTGAGGACACATGCATTTTAAAAAACCCCACAAAGAAACACACATTCTGTAATATTACAGTGTTTTATGAAGATGCATAGTGACAGTTCATGTTACCATCATGTAGATCATTCTTGGCAGTGTTAGGGACCAAAGGAAAGAAAAGGGAAAAGCTCACAAATGAACACTCCATATAACATAAAATTATATTATGTTGCAATATAGAAAATGCTGCCAATGACGAGAATTATCGCACAGTGGCACGACGAAAAAAGTAAGTGAGCCCTTTGGAATTATCTGCATTTCTGTGCAATTTATCTTAAAATATGGTCAGATGAACAAATCTATTTTATTTAATAACTCACAAATCATTGTATTTTTCTTTCCATATTGGAGACATCATTCAAACATTCACAGTGGAGGTTGGAAAAGTTCTGTAAACTCCAAAGCTAATGACATAAACAAAAAGCTAACTGAAAACAGGAGTCTAGAGTCCATTCAGTAAAACAAGTTTGGAGGTGTGGGTTAGAGCTACTTTCAATGTTTAAAACATGCAAACATTTAGCTGTTCAGAAGAATCATCTGCTGATGTGAACCGTGCATCACAAAAAAAAAGACTGAAGACACGATCAAGAATTGTCGATCTGCATGAAGCTGGAAAGGCTAACAAAGTCATCTCAAAAGAGTCTGCAGTTAGACAAACTGTCTATAAATGGAGACTTTCAATACCAGTGCAGTGGGGGGCACCGACTTCACCCAGCTACCGTCTACCGTCTACCATACTTAAATCACGGAGCATGGTGGCGATGGCAGGACATCCACAGAGGAAGCACTGTGCGCCTGAAGTGACTGGCACTCCACAGCACTACTGGGAAAATGTTTGGGAAGAACATACAGCACTATGTATGGTGTAAAAAGGGCACCGCATACCAACATGAAAACATCACGCCAACGGTGAAGTGCGGTGTTTTATGAAGGTATCTCACAGGATAATGTCAGGGCGGAACCTTTGGCGAAGCAGCAGGACAATGACCCTAAAAGTCAAAGTAAATCTCCACCAGAATGACTTCACACAAAGAAAATCCTCCCAGTCAGAGCCCAGAAGACTGAGTCCAAAGTTCCTCCTGAACATTGTGCAGGTCTGATCAGCAGCTACCAGAAGTGTTTGTTGGAGGTTATTGCTGCCAAAGGAGGTTCAACCAGTTATTGAATCCAGGGGGTTGCTTATTTTTTCCACCCGCACTGTGAATGTCTAATGGATGTGTTCAATAAAGACATGACAGATTATAATACTGTGCGTGTTATTAGGTTAAGCATGTTATGTTTGTCTACACTTGTAGGCTTGAAGATCAGGTCACATTTTATGACTCATTAATACAGAAAACCAGGTGATTCCAAAGGGTTCACAAAGTTTATCAGAGTTTTATAGCACCTCACGATCAATTTGAGGTCTTGATGAAGAAATACTTAAATTCGGTTCAAATTCGAGGCAGCTGTAGCTCATGTGGCGGAGCAACTGCAAACTGTTTGTGAGACAGTAAAATTTATGATTTGATCCCTGTTTAAGTGTCATGTCGAATTGTCATTGAGCAAGAGACTGAATCCCCAAATGTTCCCAATATGTTTGCGGAAAAAAAGATCTAGGACTGCAACTGATGATGATGATGATGATGATGATGATGATGATGATGATGATGATGATGATGACGATGATTATTATTATTATTATTATCATTATTATTATTGTTATTATTATTATAATATTATTATTTTCTCAATTAATCAATGGATCAACATTGTCTATAAAATCCAGAAAATGGTGAAAATGGTGAAAGATAAAATGTCAGGAAATTATAATGGTGAAGCCCATTCTGATTTCCCCGAGCCTAAATGATACATCCAAATGTCTTTGTCCAAACAAAGTCAGTCAACCAAAAATATTCAGTTAACAATGTAAAGAAGGAAAAGAAGCAAATACTCAACATTTTAGAAGCTGCAACCTGCAAATGTTTCACTCAAGAAATGATTCAAATGAATAATGGATCTCAGACTTTTTTGATAACCTATTATTCATTTGAGTCATGATTAATGTAAATTAAATGTATGTTGCGTGGGACAAAATAGTCTGCCAAGTGAGTGTAGCGTAAAACTAACATTACAAGTAAAAGTAAAAAAATCTGTAAGAGTAGAAACATCTCAGCCGTGAAGTGCGCTAGTGTCAAAAACAAAAGTACTATGAGTGAAGAATAGCTCTCGTCCTGAGTGTTTAATTATTGATGAACATAAATAAATAATAATGGAAATAGTGTCGGGGACTGTCCTACTTTCAGGTCAGCTGAAGGATTAGTGAACACTTTGGGAATACAAGATTCAAACGTAAAAAAAGACATATTTTGTAGTTGAATGTGGAATCAAAGTAGGTTAACTACAACCATCATGAGAATATGGTGGAATAAAAAGTACAATATTGCTCTATAAATTATAATAATCAATAATCAACCAAAGTATTAGTAACTCAAAACTAACTCCAAAGATCTGTAACTTCAGAGAGTAAAAGAGAGTAAATTAACGATGCTCAATTTAGCTGCTTTAGTTTCAAGGTCCTGGTTTTGTTCATGCTGGCTTGAATGTAACAGAGCCATCGTTAATGTTATTAGTCGCACCTGCTTTTGCTGCTGTGACGAGTGAAAACGTCTGCTGTGTACAAGGCCTGTTGAAGGAATTCATGCTCCTTTTTAGAGAGACACAGTCTGTCACTGAGCAGAACATGATTTTTTTTTTTTTTTTTTTTTAACGGTTGTGAAAGTGGATATTTTGATAGATTTCGCCCCTGAAACAATCATATTTTATGCGTTGTGTAACTGGTAGAAAACTATAAACAGTAAATGTGGTTGAGTGAAATGTTTCCCTAAAACACATAGTGGAGAAAACATAGAAGGTAGCACAAAAAGGAAATACTGATCTAAAGCTCGAGTACTTCTGAATTTGTTTATTACATCCCACCGACATTACCCTTTAAGTTCAGGGAGTAAAAACACTTCCTTAAAAACAAGACGTTTCTGTATATAAAGTGACAATGAGAAAGATGTAGTGATGAACCTATCGAGAATTATCACCTTCATCTGCAGCTCCCCTCAGCTTTTAAGAGCTTTAATGGGTTTCAGCTCATTGTTTCTGTCTGGCCCCCAACTTTACAGTTTACCTTTTCAGTGTCCTCCCATTGCAACATCACCAGCACATAATGGAGTTTCATAATATTCTAAGAGAAATCGGGTTAAAATGAGTTTGTTTCCCTGATTCTTTTTACCGCATGTGGAGATGAATGTGACCTCCAAGGCCCTAGCTGCATGTCATTAGTGTATGTAAAAGTGTAGCCAATATTGTGAGATTCGTTATTGTTACTTTCACATTTGCACATCATTAGAATATATATAATGGAGACTCATTGAAATCCTGCTGAAAAACACCCTTATGTTCACCATTTTCAGTTGCATCCCGTGTTTGTGAATGCTTTGAAATGCTAAAGAGGTCCTTGCTCCGTACTGCAGGTTCAATGAGGCCCTCAATCAGCCCAGCATCTCTCTCATGTCTGCCTGTTAGCATCTGTCTCTTCTCCGAGGGCTCCTATTCACAATCAAATGGACCTTCGCACCTCTGTAATGGTTCCACAGAAAAGAACACCGTCAGTGGAAATAAGCTTTGTAATTTGAAATGGAGAAAATGAGCGTATTTGTGTGTGTATGTGCATGTTTGGGTGTGTGAGAGACAATACTTCTTGCCTTCATGAAACCTTTATTCATATTTGCACATTCTTGGTAAACATTGCCATGTGTGTCTTGTCTTAAGATAGATATTTTAAAGGGTTAGTTCACTCAACTTACTCCCCCTGTGCTATTTATCCATCGAGATAGATATGGTGTTGTTATATTCTCAATACATCTAGTGATGAGTCAGAAAGAAAATATATTTTGTGTATTTAATTGATATTTGAGGTAAATTACACTGTACATTGTATTATCTGGATTTGTCTAAAATAAAACCATGTTAGCAACCAGTATTTCTATAGCAGTGTAATTTGAACACACATGCACAGTGCACACATACTCAAATATGCACACAATAAACTATTTAAGCACACACACACAGACACACACATAACATGCACAATAGCTATAACTGCCACAGTGCCGCCAGCATTTTGCATTGTGTGTGTTCTTTCTAACATGTATAAAAGGGAGTTAAAAGGGCAAGCTCAGCATTCTGCTTTCATCACCCCACAGCAACCCCCCCAACCCCCTCAACAGTGATGGCTCTCGACTGGTCAGCGCGATGCCCCGGTGCATCTCAGTAACCCCCCCACCCCACCCCGCCGCCCCGCTCCCTCCCACCTGCATCCCTGCTGCACTACTGCACCTTTCCCTTTACCCAGCTCCACACACACAGGGAACATTCAGGGCTTTGGTTGTACATCCTCCTGCAACACACACACAAACACACACTCTCACACATTGCAAATCTCTGCCAAGCACCTCCTAGAAGCCCCTGTCACAACACACGACATGGTCCGCTGTGTTATGTAAATTATTGTTGACTGGTTGCTCATGGCTCTCTGTTTTTCAACGCTTTGAATTTCAGCGTTTTCCTCTTGCATTGTTGTTTTTCTCCTTTGCACACATTAGCCAGATTTACTTCTTCACCTTTTCGTGTCTCCACCACATGCCGTTGGCTGTGCAGCAGTGAACGCTCAGAGCTCTGAGGCAATGTCAAGTTCAGATTTCAGTGTTGGTGATCGCAGACTTCACCAATGACCCCTGCCACAAGAAAAGGCCTTTTCTCTTAAAGATAACTTATTATCACCAACAGTGGTTGGTGGTGTGACTGTCTCCAGAGCAGTAAACAGAAGCAATAAATATGATCCTGAACTTAAGCCATAGCTTTAGCATTTTGGCGTAGCATTTAGCATTGCATATTCAAAGCAAATCTTTGCAAGCTGTTGCTTCTGTGCTTTAGTTTAATATGTATTTT